TGCTGTTTGCATACCCGCTTGTCGCGTCCTTTCCCTTCGCTCCAAGATGCAAAAACTGTCTCTTTGGGATGGTTTAGGTCCAGATTGGACCATCCAGTGACCGGAATTCAGTGGCAGTCTTGGACCTCCAAAAATGTCCGTCGTTTCACCATGATGTCAAGGCCCTCATCCATTCATTGTTTCTTGTCCCGTCTTCAGGTGCTTGGGAGAATATGGTGACCCCCACTCTTTTTGTGGCTGAAAAAATTATGTCCCATTTGATTAAAAAGTGAAAGAGTAGGAACTGGTGATAGTTACAGTATAGAGGTGTGCACATAGCACATACAGGAAAAAAAGCAATCGTTATTATATTATTGTATTGCAAACATGCTATGCATTTTGGTTTCTCCAGAATTCCGTATTAGAGCTCTGTATTAGATTAAGCTTTGCAGCTTAGATTGGCAGATGAAATAAAAGAGAGAAACTGGAAAAAACCTCATATCATTCAAATCCTTATCCAGTCCCATCTCCATTGGCTTCATCTGTCACGTAAGCTGTAGAACAGTTCTGGAGAATTTGAAAATTGCTCATTATTTCGTGCTTAGGGCTTAGCTCACCAAATCTGTAGATGTAGTCATTTTTCTGACAGGGCATATAGCACCCATTGGTGTGAGGAGGCTACATTAATATAAGACAAAAATCATGCTTTCAGTACCAGAAGAGGGCGCTTTTGTTATTAATGTAAGACTTCACCATAATTCATGTAAGCATAGAATTACAAATCTTCAGTACTTTGCTAGAGCTTTGTAGCCATTTGTTTTGTTTTGTAAAATAACAGCAGAGTTATTTCATATTTATTGTGAGCTTTCCAATCTTTTTCTTCTAAACCCTCCTTTTATTGTGATAATTTTTTTTCTAAAAGCAAATGTTACTCTTATTCTTAAATTTTCTTTCTGCGAGAATGGGAATAGTTTTTAGACTTAGTTAGCACGTTCACCTCAATTGAGAATCTTATAGATTATAGTATACACAATTCTCTAATAGAGCAACACTAGATGGACAACTTTCTTCAGATTGGAACCGTTTCATTACTTTCCATAAGATTCATTCAGTGGTGGGTTTCAAAAATTGTTCGAACCTACTCTGTGGGTGTGGCCTCCTTTGTGGGCGTGGCTTGCCACCCATGTGACCGGATGGGAGTGGCTTGCCACCCATGTGACTGGATGGGAGTGGCTTTCCCCCCACAGGACCGGGGTAGAAAAGTGCCGCCGCACCTTGCACGCAC